ACATTCCTCCAAAACACATTTTTTCACTGATTAGTTTTTCCTTGTTGCCTTTTAACAATATTTAGAGCAGTCTTCTTAGCACATTAAGAGATAAATTATTTTCTTTTTAACCATCAAATCATAGTAGAGCAGAAGAGTAGCTTTTGCACGCTGGCTTGCAAATTTTCAGGATAAACTGAGTCAGAATAAACAGTGATTGACTACAGGGAATGTATATCATTTGAAAGAGATCCTATCTGTGAAACCAAACTATCCCTTCAAAAAATGTATACTTAGTTACAAGAGACTCCAGAATCTTGTTGTTATAACATTTTTTTCTTACATCTGTCAATCTTTGCCAGGAAAAGCTTGTAAAAATAACTCCTGTTTACGGAAAGCTGTCACAAAAAGTCACCTTTCTACCTGAGCCAAGTTTGAGGAAGGAAAAAAAAAAACCCCACTGCTTTGTAAAAAGCCATTATTACTGCACCAAACAGCAACTTCTTACTGTTGAGGAACAACTTTAGTTCAGTTTCCAGAATTTTATGAGGAAAAATTCACTCCATAATTCCCATATCAGTTTGTTAAAAAGCATTAGGAAGAGCTGAAGGAAGTTAATAAGAATGATACTGTTCACAATGAGTTGGCAGTCTTTGATGAGCTTCAAGACACTGTTTAAGGAATAAAAGAACATAAATAAAAACTTACTCCAGTTTTGAAATTTTCCTGCATTAAAATGCAACAAAAAGATCATAGTATGGAAGCAGAACAAGAAGTGGCATACTGAATTTCAGCCTCTTTTGCCAGATGAGACGTATATTCGCATTGTACTGCTCTGCTACCTGTAGACTATAGGAAGACTGCTGAGACAGGATTGGCTTATATTAGATTACAGAAACTAATCTGTTCCCATATTAAAACAAGCTTTTTAAACTGCTACATTAAGTGTGCAAAAGTTAGAAATTACATAAGAGTGCCTATGCCACATACCACCCCCTTTAACACAGGTAATACCATGTTCATGTGAATACTCAAATATCAAACTTTAATATAGGGAATGTGACTAAACTACAATTGTAAGTCTCTTGCTTAAATAATACAGTTAAAAATTGTGACTGAAGTTTCATTCACAGTACCAGTTAACAGATTGTGTGCGCGCACATTTTAAAGCAAGCATAATTTTAAGTAAATAAGCAAAGCCCCAGAACAAGTTTACATGTACACATACACTAGCAATTCAACATTCCAGATTTTTAAGTATGGTGGCATGCACAGAGCAGTATTTTCAAATACTTCTTTCCAAACCAAATTATTTCCCACTTCTCCAAAGCACGTTTCCTTTTGCAGACAAAGTCCACAACAAGGTTAAAATTAATTAGAAATGCAATTATGAAAACCCAAGCGCTTCAACTGAGCTGCATTCCCTAACCTTTCCAAAAAAAGAGATTAATTTATGAGCTTAGGATAAGCATGAGAAATGTCAGGACTGAAAGCCATTTTTCTGCCAGAATTATAAACACCGAGGGCCTTAACAACCTATTTCTAAGACTACTTGAAGTACTTGTTTGTAATAAGGGGACTCTGATGGCCTCAGAGGTAAGACGACAGAGTAGGCTGAATTTCTTGTTACAGGATTACAGTGTTTACAAAATAATGCATGAGACTATAATTTTGCAATTTTTGTGTGTGTAGGTGGATGGGAAAAGTGAACTAACTACATGGGGAACCCTGAATGTTGCCAACTTCAAACCTGGGCTGAACTAACCAGCTAACAGAACATAGGAGCTCAATAACAATGTTGCAGCAACACAATGAAGCACACCAGTCAAGTGCCAGCAAGCTCCATCTCCTTTAAAGTTTTTCCTCCAAAGTAAAGTGACAGAAAATAGAGAGTATAGAACTGAATTTGGAGCAACTGCTCGGTTTCAACTGTATTTCAACTGTAACAAAAATAAAAGGAGAACAAATTACCTAAAAATAAAGCCTCTGACATGACCATTCACCACCACCAGACAGAATTCACCACCCCTCCACATTTTTATGACCTCTCCTAAGAGTATCCCATGGAGTTGATTCTATTGCAAAAAGAACTAGGTCCCAAAACAAGAGAGAAGAAATGAAATGACATTTACTCATCCAGCATAGTTGAGTATTTGGATTTTAAGTCACCAGGTGTATATATATTTTTCCACATTCAACATGAAAAATCCTTCCATAAAGTTCTGTACAAACCTGAATAATCAGTAGCAGACCTGTTTTAAGTGCTGGAAAGATACTGGCCCCAATTCTAGAGGCGGAGCCAAACACAAGATCTAAATGTGCTGGGGAAGTGAAAGATGGCTTTATGCTGGCTTTGTAATGACCCAAGTTTCCAATGGCAAGCTGCCCAGGTTACAAGTCAGAGTAGCCCTAAGATTGCTTTGGTGCCTTGCAATAGCACCCTTCAGAGACCATCATGGCACCCAAGTATCACTGAGAAACAGAAGCACTCTAGAAATGTCTCTCAGTCATGTAAGCCAAAACTAAGGGCTGAGGTAGGGTCAACAATGACAATCCGACTTGGACATTATTTGAAAATTCTACCACAGTGACAGTAACACTTTACACATCAATCAAGCAGCACAAAACAGACTCAGCATTGTACAGGCTTCTCTAAGGAGCCAAAGCATTTACTTGGATTCCAACTGCTCTACTCTAAAGCAAACAACCCAGTGAACTCTATTTAAAGGGACAATCAATGCCTCAAATTACTAACCATTTCCTTCATTACAAGGTGATTTGAAAAGCTATTTAGGTATGTCTACATGACAATGGAGCACCATGCAGAAACACCTATGAAAGAACAAGCTTATGTACTAGTGCCTACACTGCACCTGGCAGCTAGATAAGAAATTTACCCTTTCTGGTTCAAAGAGGTACCACGTATGACCTCAACTTGCATAGGACTACACAGGCACTCCAAACATACCTATAAGCTACTAAATAAGTTCAGGACTGCTATCCATTTTTGGAAGAGGATAATGCCAATAACTTGCTTGCATTAGTCAAATAAGCCACTGTTCACAACAGATACAGACGATTTGATGCTCAAAATTTATTTGGTTCTGTCTGTACACTGACATTTTCACTGCTCATGCAAATGAAACCATTGTTGATACTGTTAACAATAGGTCAGTTTCATAGTGTAGGCATAGCTACTAATACCTAAGATATAGGAACTGCAGGCCTTAAATCCCTGTAGGGGTTAGAAGTTGCCTCCATTTTTGTATAGGAATCAGAAGCATGAGGGCTGGAAGTCAGAGGTGAAGTCTTCTTGGCTTCATTACAATCAGTGGGAGTTTTTTTCCCATAGACTTCAACAGAGCCATGATTTAACTCAAGGTCTCCTCATCAGGGTAAGCTTATTTTAACCACCTTGCTTATCGTATCTGCATTTTAAGTGGGCACACAAATATTCTGTAAATCACTTTGTGAAAGCATCTCATGTGTCTGTTTTAAAAAAAAAAAAAAAGCCTAGCAATTTCAATTTTTAGACAGCTGTCAGAGGAAACACTTCACCTGTGTTAAAGCTTCATATTTAAGAAATGCAATTCAAAATTAAATGTCTAGCTTAAATGTCTTTGGAACTATTATTGGCAAAAGTCACATCTAAGTGCATTTCTCTTCCCAGTTAGTTATAAATACAAATGTCAGTGTATCCATTTGCAACTGGAAAGTTGTTTGAGCAAACCCTAATCTAGTGCCTGCAAGACCACAGGGACATTTTTTAAATTATTTCTTAAAAGGCTTTTAGGTCATCACCTTATACTTAATTGCATAGTGTCATTTTTACCCAGTAAGGAGCTTTAGATTAAGGAGGAACATCCATCAGTTTTTGTGAAATGTGCATCTATATTCCCCAACCATCTCTAAACAGATCAGATGTGATGCCGCACAGGTTTGACAAAAACAGCAGAAATAAAACCAGTCACTTTCAGGGATACTACTCGGGTCTCTGTGAGCAGCGAGAAAATGCAAAGAACAATGTCCATTTTACACTGCTGTTTCTTGGAATGGCAGTGAGCAGCAGCAAAGGCAGATGTGCTTGAGTTTTATACTGGGGAGAAAAGCCAGAAAGCATGCTTGCAACAAACTAACAGAGAACACCCACCCTGCCACAGCTCCATGGTAGCATGGTGGAGCCTAGAGATAAGTTTCCCCTGCTCAGCAGTAAAACAATTAATTTTACAATTTCAGACATGTTTAAGCCAAAAGCTGAGATAAGAGACTGCATCCCAAAAAGGTTCAGGGACGATACCCTGGAAGAAATCCCAGCATCCTCCCCCTTCCTGACAGCTAGCAAGAGGGAAAGTCTAGCTAGGGGGCTGGCCCTGCATCTTGCTACTGGAACCCCCATTTTGTTTTGGAAGCCTTGTCCTAAAAGGTGGCTTTGTTCTTTAACTACCAGGGAGCTGGCACATGTCAGTCTCTGCATGTAGACACTGGCCATGTACACAGGCAGCAGGCAGGGCAGGGTGGCCCCTTACAGACTAACTCACAGGCACAAGCCAAAGGCTACATACAGCCTGCTATGTCAGATGCTATGGAGAAACAGGCAGCAGTACCACATGGGAAGAATACAGCTCATTAGGCCACAGAAAAAGGAGCTATGACTTCAACACGAACGCTTCCAGCTAGGCTGAAAAACCTGAATGCATTTCAACACAGGTGCAAGACCAGAGCAGGCTGTCCTTGGCCTTGGAGCCCTTTTTTTTTTTTTTTTTTT